CTTCTCTTCCCCCCCCCCCCCGTTGCTGAGTTGTTTACCTAGAGGTTTTTCATTGAATCCAATCTAACAATGGCCTCTATCACTCTTAGTACTGAATCCATGTCTCGCTCGGAATTTTTTTGCCAGCAAACTAATATTCTTTGCTCGTATAACTGTTAATATCAAGGTTTCGACAGTATTTTTAGTTATTGTCTCATGTTTTTTTTTGTTGTTTGTATAGATAAGACGAAGAAAACTATCCAGAATTTTCTTTTTCTATTCTGGAAACCATAAAATTTAGACGCCACCCAAACACACGATCAAATCTTTCATCCAGAGACAACTCTCTCAAACTATGAAGGTCAGACAAATCAACCGACAGTAACGTGCCTATGCAATAACGGACAATTCAGCCAAAGTTTCTTTTCATTTTATCCAATTGTAATTTTTTTTTTGAGAAATTGGTAAAAATATCCTATATAGCAGTAAATGCAAATTTTAGGAACACAGAGTTTAAATACCATTTTTGAGCATTTTGTGGAAAGTTTTGACACAAAAAATGGCGTTTTTCTTTAATTAATCATTTTGATCGTTATCATCAATTGTTGTTCTAGCGTCCTTATCATGCATTCAAAAGTTGATATTGAAGACTTCGAGCTTAATGGAGTTTTAAGTCGAGAAAAACTAAACTGCTCTACTGTGAGCCAGGGTCTTAATTGTGCTTAAGCAACAGCAGCTGGATAAATGCTTCCAGATTATAGGTTAAAATCGTTCGGTTCTAATCAATTTTTGACATTTTTAAGTGCGTTTTGGGTTTTCTTGGAGTTTGGGAATGCATCGAAAGGCATATCATAGAGAAAAAATTGAGGGTCGATCAACCAAAAATGTATGTCGTAAATCTTGTAATTAGGAGGGACCCTTCGGGTAGTCAGGGTGTCGAATTCCTGCTATCGCCTCCCATCTAAACCCGTCCCTGTTTTCAAGATAGATTATCGTTGAAATTGTTCAAATTAATACGCGCGTAATTCACATTCCATTAGTAAACATCTTTTTTCTACTAGCCATGGAGCTCTTGTAAGATATAAATATCCTTTCATTTTCATAAGTCATTAGCGTAGGCTACAATTACGCCAAAATGCCAGGAAAGCATTTTCCACGATCAATAGGAGAGCAAAGGAAACGAAATCTGAATTAAAACTGTGTAAATTGACTCTTCTTACGGGTAAAATGACGGCTCAGGGAGCTTATTTAATTACAGGGACTTAGCAGTAGAAACGAAATAAGTTGGAAAAAAAAGAAGCGGCAAATTTTTTGCATCATGCCTCCAGGCTGCCATTTTGAACTATTCAAGAGTTAGTTTTCTTGACTGATTGAACATCAAGGCTTATCTATGATTTAATTAACAAAAATTCACGCACTTATTAGGTGAATATTTCGACTTGATCATACGCTTGGAAAACGACCGAGACTTGATTTATGATAACAAATGAATGAACATTTTCAAAATTGTTCATTTTAAACCGTTTAATTTTTATGGAAAGTGAACAGCTATTTGCATTTCGGATTTTAGAAAAAACCGCGTGCCGTAATTTTTTGTTCCAAAAATTTTTGAAGACAACAAGACTGCTCGTATATCAGGGCAAAGCCTTGAATGTTCCGACTGTCCTTTAATTCATATCGAATAATTTTTGGGAAAAAAATATTGAAAATCTATACATTTTGGACAATATCAAAGTGTGAAACTAGCTAGCCTCAATTGAAGTTGTAAAATTTTGAGTCGTATGAAATTAATACGAACAATTAGCTAGTCTTTTTTCAATTTGTTGCGCGAGATAATTTGCCACGCATAAATAATTCGCGTTAGGCTTTCAGCAGTATGAATACAGCCGAACTGCCCCTTAATCCGTATGGAAAAGTTTTTGGGAATAGATAAAATTGGAAAACTAAAATTTTTTGACATTTTCAATGATCAAGTGTGAAAACGTGAGTCAAACAAAATTAATACGACCGATTGGTCAGCTTCAATAAAATTTGGAATGGTTTTGTTGTGCTGTATAATTCACCACGCAAAAATAATTCACGTTAAGCTTTCAGTATTATGGATAAAATCTACAAAGCTTGCAACAATTAGTCCAGAGCCTGGCAAAATTGGCAAATTTCAAACTCCAAAAACTTTGCAAAAACTGATCAGGGTTAAAACTTTTTTTTTTAAATTTAATTTCAGGGAGTCGATAACTTCAATGGGGCAAAACATTTAAATTTTTTGCTGAAAAATATTATTTCGATCACCAGAAATTGACTGAGAAAAAAATCAAGCATAAACAACCCGTTTTCTTCGAAAGTCGGGAAAAAATGTTAGAAGTGGTTTTTTCTCCAGACAAATGTCATTTTTTTAACCAACAATTTTTGACGAAATTTTTTATCGTTTGAAAGGTGTTGTTGTATTGAGCTCAAATTTTAAAAAACTTTGCAGCTGTGATCATTTTAAGAAAAAAAGGGGGGTTATGAATATGCTAATTTGGACAACTTTGGACAATGAACGAG